TGACACCATCTGAATCCAGATCACCCAACTCATAGCTCATCCTGTGACAACCAGAGGTTGAAAAAAATATCATAGTTGTTTAAAAGGCCTTATATCATCACTGTGATAAGAGGTTGGGTCATTCAGGTCATTACTAATGTCACCAGAGGGAGAGAATTTTGCTCACAAGGCAGTCTCTGGCAAAAGTTGCTTTATTAAATTCAATTCTTTCATTTTCCCGGCCATTCTGATAGTGCTGCTTTTTGCCATTTGGTATAACTTACTTTGGGACTATGTTTTAAGGACAGTTTTCCATCAAGGCCCAGACGATTTGTGACCTCAAAACACATTTAGATGTACCAGGGGTTCTGGTGTGGTTGGGTCAGAAAACGGCCAGTATTAGATCCTTACCCTTCTTTCTGAAAGCGAGAACCGCCTGAAGCATGGGTTGGTTGATCCTCCTTGCTGAAATGGCCTTGCCAAAGATCTGACTGACAGAGAAATTCTCAGGGAGGCTGATTCCAGAATCTTCGGCGTGTTTCTTATAGTCTTCTTCCATGAGTGACACCCACTGTAAAAGTAAATTGTCCAGGGACTGTCAGTTGGTACAATCACTTGGAAAAGCTTTTGGCAGCATTTACTAAATCTGAATATGCATTCCTTGTGATTCAGCAACTTCACTCCTGGATACATACATTGCAGGAAATGGAAATGTCTACATGTGTTCACTAAAACATGTACAAAAATGTTCGTGGCAGCATTACTCCTAAGAGCCCCACACTGGAAAATACTCAAATGCCCCACTATGGGCTGAATTGTGCCCCCGCCCCTTTAAATTCTTGTTGAAGTTGTAATCCCCAGGACCTCAGAATGTGACTGTCCTTAGAAATAGGGTCTTTAAAGAGGTGATTAGGGTAAAATGAGGTCATGGTTTGGCCCTAATCCAATCTGACGGGTGTCCTTATAAAAACAGGAGATTAGAAAACAGATACACACAGAGGACGGGCTGTGAGGACACAGGGCACAGATGGCCATCTAATGCCAAGGAGAGAGGCCTCAGAAGAAACGAACCCTGTGGATACCTTGATCTGGGCTACTGGCCTCCAGAGCTATACTATACATAGTCTTCCAATCCTTTCCTCCCATTCTTTCTAGAACATACTCTAATCAAACATTCACCTCCACATTCCAGAAACTTGTCTCATCAAGGTTACCAATGACCTTGTTGTGTTGCTATATCTAACGGGAACTCAATGTTAGATATTTTCATTTTACTTGACCTATTAGCTGCATTTGACACAGTTGATAACACTCTTCATTTAAAACTTGATAACCTGCCATGGCTGGGTGGGTCAGTTGGTTAGAGCATCATCCTAATATGCCAAGGTTGTAGGTTCAATTCCTGGTCAGGGCACATCCAAGAATCAACCAATGAATGTATAAATAAGTGGCACAACAAATTGATGTTTCTCTCTCTCCCTCTCTCCCTCCCTTCCTCGCTCTCTGCAAATCAAATAAAAATTTTAAAAAGTAAATAAAACTTGATAACCTCTTGGCTTTTAGGATTCCACACTCTCTTGATTTTCTTCTTTAATGGAGATGCATTATCCATCTCTGATTGCTGGGTCCTTCTCACCAACCTGACCTTTAACATCAGAGTACCCAGGACTCTGGCTCCTTCCATTTATGCTCTCTTTCTCCATGATCATATTAAGTCCAATGGTATGAAAAATACCATCTACCTGATGTATATATATATATATATTCAACCTGGACCTCTTCCTTGAACTCTGAGTTTGTATATCCAGCTGCCTATTCCACATCTATTTGGATATCAATGAACATTTAAAATTAAAATATCCCAAATTGAGTACCCGATTTCCCAACCCCCACAGCCATCATCCCTCTTCTTCCATTTAGCAAACCATACTTCCAGTTTGCTTTGGCCAGAAGCCTGAGTCATCCTTAACTTCTCTCTCATGCCTCTCATTCAATCCATCATATTGGCCCCGATTCAGGAAAACCTGTTGAATCTACCATCAAAATAGTCCCAGAATTTGACTACTTTTTACCACTTCTACCAATACTACCTTAGTTTAAGCCACCATTATCTTTCTCCTGGATTTTCTAATAGCTTCCATAAGTAGTCTTTGTACAGTAATCTTGGCCTTCTTGATCTATTCATATAATAGCCAGAGGAGGTTTTAAAAATATATGTCAGCTAACATCACTTTGCTGGTCAAATTCTCCCAATGCCTTTCCATCTCACTCAGGGGAAAAGAAGAAGAAAAAAGAAGCAGAATGGAAAAAGAGACTGAAGTATATTCATACAATGGAATATCATACGGCAAAGAGAATAAAACTATCTACAACTTCATATTTATAATTTTCATTAATATAATGTTGAGGGATAAGAGCCAGATAAAAAAGGGTGTGCCTACATGATTCCATTTACATGAAGTACAAAATAAGCAGAAGTAATCTATAAGGTTAGAGTCCAGATGGTAGTCTTAGAGGGCTAAGTGTGGTAACTGGTGCTGATAATGTTTTATTTATTTATTTTTAATAGTTTTTATTGATTCTAGAGAGAGAGAGAGAGGGATAGAGAAACATTGGTGAGAGAGAGAAACATTGATCGGCTGCCTCTTGCATGCCCCCTACTGGGGATCAAGCTCAAAACCCAGGCATGTGCTCTGACCAGGAATTGAACCATTGACCTCTCATTGCATGGGACAACACTCAACCAACTGATACGGCAAAGAATAAAACTATCTACAACTTCATATTTATAATTTTCATTAATATAATGTTGAGGGATAAGAGCCAGATAAAAAAGGGTGTGCCTACATGATTCCATTTACATGAAGTACAAAATAAGCAGAAGTAATCTATAAGGTTAGAGTCCAGATGGTAGTCTTAGAGGGCTAAGTGTGGTAACTGGTGCTGATAATGTTTTATTTATTTATTTTTAATAGTTTTTATTGATTCTAGAGAGAGAGAGAGAGGGATAGAGAAACATTGGTGAGAGAGAGAAACATTGATCGGCTGCCTCTTGCATGCCCCCTACTGGGGATCAAGCTCAAAACCCAGGCATGTGCTCTGACCAGGAATTGAACCATTGACCTCTCATTGCATGGGACAACACTCAACCAACTGAGCCACACCAGCCTGGGGCTAATGTTTTATTTCTTTCCTGGGTGCTGGTGACAAGGGTGTATTAATTTTATGAAAACTCATCAAGCCATATACTTTCTGTACTTTTTATTTGTACAATATACATAAAAGTTAAAAGATGAATTCATTCCTAAGGTATCTACACTAATAAAAGAGAAACATGGTAATTGGCGTACGACCGCTACCCTTTTCATTGGCTAATCAGTGAGTATATGCAAATTAACTGTCAGCCAAGATGGCGGCC